CTATCTATCTATCTATCTATCTATCTATCTATCTATCTATCTATCTACCGTGTTTCTCATATAATAAGGCTGGGTCTTATTTTTTTTTGAGCCCTGAAAAAATGGCTAGGCCGTCTTTTCGGGGGTGACTTAATTCCCCCCACTTGCATCTTTGGTGGGCGGGCGGCGACGGCTTGGATGTTGACCTCGGTGTTGGTGGGGCACTTCGTATCGGGGTCAACGCAGGCAGCACCATATCCGGGTGTGCAACAAAAGTACTTCCTAATGGCAAGCCCCCCCCCACCATTTCCCCCCCATTTCGCATGTTTTAATACAGGCCTTAATTTGGGGGGGAGGGACTTAATTTCATTTCATGCCTATAAAACATGCTGGGACTTCCTATTGGGGGAGGCCGTATTGTTGGAGAAACAGGGTATCTATCTATCTATTCTCTCTCTCTCTCTCTCCCCCCACAGAGAGAGAGAGGAGAGAGAGAAAGAGCGAGAGATGGAGAGAAACCATTAGCAATTAATGTAGCCATTAATATAATTGGTGAGCTCCATTTTTGCATGCACTGTTGATTTTGGATAAAGCTAAGCAAGATTGAAACTACCTAGAACTTGGGTTGAGAGATAACCAGGATCTCCCAGGCTTGTTGTCCTAGCAGAGACGCATAAAAATATTCAGGAAGAAGGAACAAAATTGTGTTGTAACACTGCCAAGAATCCATGGAAGGCTTCCAGGAGAGTCAAGCTGAACAAGTTCATTTGAATTACTTTTATACGGTTTCATGTCCTATCTAGAATATATGTTTACTGGATTGCACAATGCACACAGAGAGAGGAGTTCCTTTTACAGGCTGGTATAAAAGTATAGCAAACACATCACTTGCTTTTTCAATCTGCTGAAATTCTTAAAACACAAATCTGTTGTTGGCGAATGACATGGATTTTTTTTTCAAAGTTACACGGGATAGAGGTTCGGAGGTGCAAGGAGGAGCAAGGGGTCGAGGAAATTGCCTACAGGGCAGAGAACGGTCAAAAAAGTCAAGATGGCAACTACAGATGTGGTCCTGTCACCCCTGCAAAAGGGTGAGAGTTGTGATAAGGAGGTTACTGCTACAATCTTGACTCTGGTGTAGAAATTAATTTATCAATAGCTCTGCATAAATGTACGGTTTTCCTCAACCTTGGG